TTCTTCAAGTGTTTACAGAATTTGCCTTTACAACAACTACATCATTCTGTGCAATAATGTTGAAGCAATCATGGAAGAATCTAATAGAAAAAATTGCTATAGTTGACAACAGATTGAAACCAAACGTACCAAAAGTCAGTATTTTTCATTGTTTGGAAGGAATAGGTAATATACCTCATAATCTTTTTGTTATTTGAAATTTATGAAATATTGGTGTGGGATAATATTAAAAGTGGCGTAGAAATCTACTATACTACGTACCGAATAATAAAGTTCTACCAATTTTTTGTTTTGGTCTTAATTGGAGAAATAGTAATGGTATTAAGAAAACGACGACTGTGGCAGAGAATACAACAGATTGTCTGGCACTCTTTGTGGAAATTCGATTCATGGCCACTTCATATACTGTTTAAAAAATCATGAAAAGTGAGAAAAAGTATAAAGATAGACGGGAAATTAATCCAAATATCCCGATCATTTACTGTCTAAAAGGTCCAAAGTACAAAGTATATCCTAATACTCTTTCTGTGTGAATTACACGAAATACTTTTAGGGTAAAATACTAGAAACGGAATATAGGTGTAACAAGATGCCATCAGCCTTGGCTCGCAAAAAATTTAACAATGTTTTGAACAGTAAAAAATTGTTTATTTGGAAGCATCGATTAACAATTTACAAAATATTTACGAAACAAAATAAAATATAAAAAATTTTCAACAAGTGAAAGAGTGTATATAATACAATGATCATAAAACTTAGCAGCTTTGATTATACCAGAGTCAATGTTCAAACTCGAACACACCAGAGTGACTCCGCGCGAAGTTTTGCTGCTGGATTTGTTCTTCACTCACGAAAATAAGAACAAATTCGTGAAGAAGTTATTTGACAGTAGAATTGATGTATTACTCTTATCTAACTTCTTCATAAAGTGACTACATGAATTAATTCATAGATTTACAATGCAAAAAAGCTATTAAAAGTACTTACTTCATTAGTACAGTATCATACTATAGATGATTGCGATAATAATGTACAAATGTGTAAAAACAAAATATACAGATCTATACAAACATATTTTTCAAGCTTCTCGTTTGCGGTGAAAACACCCGGTAGTAGACTTTTTAAATCATGTTAATGCATTTAGGTACATTACAATATAATGCTTTTACAGACTGATAGCTTTTGCTGCGCCGCAACATTTGTGGAACATAATTTGAACTGAGCAGATATATTTTATTTAAATTATTTTGATATATTCCACAATGTCAGTACAAGATACAGTTCTTTTAAAAATGTACATAAAATTTGGAAAGCTTTTAGGTATCACTTTTCCGTCCAAGAAGAATATTGAAAGAAGAAATTTGCTGGTTAACATTTACATTTTATTTTTGATTTCTCTTTACACTATAACCTTCATTGTAATTACTAAAGAAATATTATATTTAATTTTTCCAGTAATGGATGTAAAAGGCAAGATATTAGAGATTCTTGGAGCATTTCTAGAATTTAGTTTCATAAACTAATGCTTTGCTTGGTGCATTAGTTCTCAAGGAATCCTGGAATAGCATAATAGAAAACATTTTAATAGTAGACTGCAGTATGAAAACAAACCTTCCAAAAGTCAGTAATTTTTATTGCATTGGAAGTTTAATGTATTTTGTATTATTTTTTCTCTGTGAAACTTATGAATTTCTTGTATGGAAAAGTAAGAAATCTGTCTTGGTATGGGTCTACGCTACGTATCGAATAGCGAAGTTCTATAAGTTGTTTATTTTGGTCTTAATTAGAGAAACAGTGAAATTATTAACCAGAAGATACCATCACTTGAATGATTTGATAAAAAATACCTTCGCAATGGGTACTAATGTAGCGCACGCGAAGGCAAATTTAAGAGAAATAAGAGCACTCTGTATATCATTAAGTGACTTAACTGAAAAAGTCAACAATATTTTTGGAAAACAAATATTGTTCATTCTGAGCCATACAGCAATTTACAATTTAATTGTGTTTAACTGGATCGTAGCTTTGTTAGTAGAAGATGCAAATGCAATTGCAAACAGGAAGGCTCTTATTTGTTCTCTTTTACTGAACTTCTTCAGTGGTATTGTAAGTACAATTTTTAATTTATGTGCTCGATTTGTACACATCTGTGTTGTAATTATTATAGTATATCTGTAAGAGATCGAGATGTTAGCTAAGATTATTCGTCAACAGAGCCATCAGACATAGACCGATTATCGACCGACGAATGACTCGTGTACACATATCTATCTACTAACATATTTTGAGTGTAGTGAGATATAAACTACAAAGAATGTCATATTTTAATTGTCAATGCTACTCAAATCTTACCGGCAACAAGGCTAGCCGAAATATTCTAAAACAATTTTTTTTTCAGATTGTCATAACAATAACTGTATTAAATTGCGACACGTTAGAGAAAACTGGAGCAGACACCGTAAAGACGTGTTATGTCTTGCAGGGACATATAGATATGGAGCAGCCCGTACTTCGAGGAGAACTCATTCTTTTATCAAATTCTCTTAGAGATCTTGCGCCTAAAGTTTCGGCTTGTGGCTATTTCTCTGTAAACAAGAAACTTTTGTCTAACTTGCTTTCTGCCATAACATCGTATGTTATAATAATCATTCAGTTCAGAAACGATTAGATGTGTATCTATTGGCGTACACATGCATGGCACGGTTGTGAGGGTCAGATCAAATGGGGTCATGACAAATAATTAATTTACGATTTTTATTTTTGCAATGGCGTGGTTTTTAAATGTGAATAAATAGTGTAGAGTAGGTAGCCAGAAACAAGACTTTTCCACATTTACAAAAAGAGAGACACAGTTATTATTAAGGTTTTTCTGAATTGTTAATATTGATGCACGGGTGTGTTTGTTTCCACTTCAAAAATTACTTATCTTGAATATTTCTTTTAATTTTTATTCTGTGGGATAAGTATTATCTATATAACTTTTTTTCATACATTTTTATACAGGGTTGGAAAATCCACAAAGTAAAGTAAAGAAATCCGTGCGATAGACAAGGATGGCTATAGTGAAAGTGGCAGATTATGAAACGTCTTCAATGTAACCATCCTTGTCTACCGCACGGATTTCTATGACTTACTTTATCGCTCTCATACTTAACGGCCGATGTACCATGGGGACTTTCCGAACCTGTGTGTATATCTATGTAGTTATGTACTCATATACAGGGTGTCTTTATGTTTGTGTCATAACTATATAGGTTGCTTCTTGGATCGTTATAGACTAACAAGCCTTAAAGGTCATTGATTTTCAAGAGACAGATTCCAGGAATTCAACTAAAGGTAAAAATTCAGTAAATTGGGATAAAATATGACTACTAATGGTGGAGATACCTACTAAGATGCCATTAAATGTTTTGGACATTGGACAAATATGTTTAGTGCATATTAATATTTAAATTTAAAATATCTTCATCTGGGTATCTCGAAATATATCTTCATCATTTTAGAAAGTCGTAGCATGTAATTATATTTATCCACACATGGAAATGCAGTGCAAGCAGTTACAACAAGTTATACATATAATCAATAATCATTATTGTAAAAACAAATTTGCACGAATTTTGTTAGCACACTAATCTTGGGTATACATTTAGACTATTACAGTTAGATGCTAAGTGGATGATGTTGACACTATCACATCTATATTTAAATAATATAGAATTCGTAATATTTTAGTAAAAAGTTGTTATGATAAACTGTGTATGTGTAAACGGTATTTTGTGTCTAGCTAGTGTGTATTTGGCATTACCAATTTGCACGCGCACAGTTTTTAAGTGTCCACAGATGGAGTTACTTTTTCATCTGAAAGATCTTACACTGGGTGGCTTAAATTTAGGAACGATATCGGAAAAAGATGTCGATAAATATCATATCAGTATTTGAAAAAAATGTATTACAATGCTTGTTCAATATTTCGATGACGATATATTTTTCTAGCAAAAATATCTATACCAATTGTTAGAAATATTAGATATGTTAGAAATTACTTACTTAGATATTAATTAAACTTAGCCAAGCAGATCACCAAGGGTAAATTTTCGTAAATCTCCAATACAAAACATCATGGATCAAGCGGAATTTCCATCAAAGCGAGTCAGACGACAGTTTAATGAGTTAAAAACACAGAACCGACAAGAAAGAGTTAAACTTACTCGATAAATACTCAATTAATTACTTGAATTACTTTACTACCTCAAATTAGTAGTTTTGAAGGTGTATCCATAATTTAAAAAATTTACTTTAACCATAATTAAACGGCGGTGGGCAGGACCATCCAAATTTAGAATACTAATAAAAGTATACTTTTTACAAAAATGTTAATGATATACATGAAAAGCCCTTATGTAAAAACATTTTAACTCATAATTGTGGTGGTAAATGAAATTAATAATTGTGGTGGTAAATGAAATTAATAATAAATACCTACATAAATAAATCCTGTTTGTGCTTTAACTGATGTGTGACTTATATGTGTAAAATTTAATGTTGAAAATAAATTACAATATATTTAAAATTGATTTATCATTAATTTATCCCTCTAGAAGAGTTTATAAGCAGTTCCTAACATATGGCGTACCTAGAAGAAGAGTTGTGGGGCTCCCCTCCCTGGACACTTCCTTTAAAACTGTCGATCTCTCGGGTAAAGCTGGTGAATATATCCAGCAATTAAATTTAAAAATATGCCTATTAATTTTGGTGACATATTAAATACATTATAATAATCTTTGATTTGCTGAAAATTCAGTGTAATGTAGTAAATTATTATTTAAGAGATGTCTTAAAATTATCATACACCTCTCTCGTACCCTACTTATCACAAGGTCCTTGTATTTGAATACTTTTAGAACGATTCGTCATGTGCGCATGACTGCTGACTCCTGCCCAGAATGCCATTAGTTAATCTTTTCTTTAAAAGATGTCTATGGTATATTCTCTATCTCCAATCTAGGGTCTATGGTCAAAATAACAACCTAACCAAACCTTTACGTAAATCTTAATTTCCACAAGACTTCCAATGAAAAATAATTTTTCATGAAAGTTTAATTATGTCTATAGCTGGTAAAACATTTAAATCCATAATCAGAAGATGTGTCCCACAAAAGCTGGTATTAAAGCTGTTATTATCTACAATTACAAAATAAAATTCCTTATTTTTAGTTTTTCAGACCATCCAGTTATTATTCTTCACCATTTCTTGAAGATGTTGGAGATATAACTAGAAAATATGAAATAACAAAAGATCCTGAAGATTGGAAGTACGTTGAAAGAATTTTACCTGTGGCAGTAGTTCCAGAACCTGTAAAAAAAGATGTGTATCCATCAGGTTGGAAACCTCAAGGAGACAATTTACAAGATCAACCCTACTTTGTTGAAAGAACAAAAAATCACATGATTCCTGTTTACTTACAAGTTGCACAAAATGGAGTCCGTAGGCATACAAAAGTCAAGTTTGTGAAAGGCGATATTTGGTTACTTGAAAAAGAACTGCGTGAATTTCTTCAGAAGGAGTCATTCGGACCCATTAGAAGTCAAGTAAATGAATTTGCTGGATTTATTAGATTTAGTGGAGATTTTGTAAATGCTATTAAGTATTGGTTAGAACAAAAGCAATTTTAAACTTGTACAATTCAGGTTTTTTTATAATTATTTTCCATTAATTCTGCTCTATATCGTAACTGTAAAACTTCAAACATTAGATGGTAATTAAACTCATTTGGAATTCATACATGCAAGAACAGAATAAAAACTTAATGGGGAAGCTGTTGTATAATTCGTGCAATGTAAAATTTCAGTAGGATAACCCAGACTTCCAATAATTGTTGTTTCATTGTAATTTAACGACTGTTTTTCATTTCTCATTGCTAGTTGTTTAAATAAATCAATAATTGTTTAAAAACACCCTTTTTTCCCCTCTTGTTTTCCTTACACTTAGTTTTGTATGATCTTTATGAAAACATTTCTTTGTAATATTTAAACCATAGTTTCAAAGAAAATATAGAGATTAATATTAAATTTCGTTAAATGTAACTAATAACAAATTTTCACATAACTTTTAATACCATTTTTATTTACACAATTATGTACAAAATATAAATACGAAAATATATTAGATAAATATTAAACAATTTAATTTGAAGCATTAACACATGCTGTAAAAAGACTAGGAAAGTAATACAGTTTTTCTTGGGGGTTTTGAAGATCTACCCAGGCTAATCCCTGATTTACCATATGCTCTAAAGCTTTCCTACTTCGTTCTACCTCCCACTTCAATTCTCGTTTGAGATACGACACAGAAATAAATCCTTGATTTTTTTCAGCTTGCTGCAAAATAGCTGAATGATCCATACTTAGCTCTCCAGGAACAGATTGGACCATATACTAGAATTACAGTGATTATAACGATATTTTTCAAATTATATAAAACACAAACCTTGCCCTTTCCCACTGGTATTACGTTGAAACCGCTACCAAATATTTTCAGTTTTTCTGCTGCTCTTATGAGATCATCTTGTGAAATTTCTTGGTGTTGTTTACTCTGACCTCTAGCTTTTATTAACCTTGTTCTTAGTTCATCCAGACTAATAAGACCCCCATTTTTTTCATTAGTTGCTACAAAGAAAGTTGTTAAAAATTCTATGTAAATAATTAATAATTTATTACCTAAACACACTTCTACTATTTGAACTGCAAGCTCATAATAAAAGTCTCCAATGCCTAATATAGACCAAAAACCTTTACCTGATGATAATGGATCTACACCTATACTGGCACACATATCCTAAAACGTATCATTAGAGTTATCTATTTTGGAACAATATATTGTTGCAAATGGGTCGGTAACTAATTTTTTTTAGAACACAGCATAGGTGGCTCTTACCTGAAACTGCCTTCTAAATTCTGGATTTTTTCTTATTTCATTCTTATGCTTAGAGGCAAACTCCTCTAAATTAATTTTAAAAACTTCTAACTGTTTTGTCATTTGCTCAAATTGATTTTCTTGTATTTCAGTACCCTTATCTTTGTACTTTTCCTGTTCTAATTTTTGTTTTTGAATAGCTCCTAAACCAGCACGACGACGCATTTTCTTATGGTTATAAACGTTTAGTTATGTATATGTAGCAAATAATTCAATTTTATTTAGAAAAACATATAATCTCTACAACAAAAGTCAAACTTATAGGTTAGAAATTGACTTTTAAGCATAGAACACAAAATTTAACGGGATAGCTGCTTCGGTTGTATCAGTTGGAGCTTGGAGCACTCCAGAAATTACAAACATTTGATTGTTGTGCCCACAGTACACTAATTAATGTATAATAATTAAAAGTATTAAAACCTCAGACTAATAAATAAAGTATATAACCACAATGAATTTGACCTTTGACAAACCCACTTATTTCAGAAACATTCTATATACTTATAGTCATCGTAGTATAAAGACAAATTTAAATTAAAAATCAAAAGTAAAAAAGATTTAGGTACGAGTAAAAATATAAACAAGAAATTTAAATAACAGACAGCACATTTTGACGTTTTTATTACATTTAGCTACAAAAATAAAACAATTTTATATACATTAATTATAACACATAAATAAATTATTTTCTGTTATAAGATCAGTCAATCAAATCAATTTATACCAAATTTTTGTTACAAAAATACAAAAAATTTCAAATTTATAACAAAATTGTTTAGTACGAATGAGTACCTATTACTTAGAATCACAAAATATAGCTACTATATATGGCTGTAATATCAGAATAAATATTTCATAGAAGTGTAAGTAAAATATATATTTCTGCAGTAATAATTACAAAATATTTCTCCATTATATCGCTTTAAATAAAAATGGAACCAAAATAACTCATAAAATAAAATGTTTCTAAATGAAGTTTAAAATGAAAAATATATAGGGTGTTTTGAAAATAACTGACGAAAATGAAACAAATGAATTCTCTTAACTGATTTTAGAGAGGATGTTTTATGTAAAAAAAAGAGCTGTAACTTCTTAGGGAAGGAGGTTAGAATAAAAATATTTGTTTATAAAAAATCTCTTCTAAAATCGGCTCTGCTGAAGAATCCACTGTTTCATTTTCCTCAACTATTTTTGAAACACCTGCTCCAATAATATCCTCATTTAAGGACCTTAGAAGTAAAATGAAAAATACAACGGTAATTTTGAAACACAATTTTTTTCAAATATACAACTTTTTAAGTCAAAAAGGATATAAACTTTTATTTTTATATTTACTCCTCATAAAAGTTAATTAAAATTCTATTATTATATATAGATTACATTTAATATACCTTTTTGTTAAAAGTATCTACGTGGAATTGTGGAAGATATTGAAAAGTGATGAAATATAGAAGACTAATGAAGATTTGATGTATTTTGTATGTAAATTGCTTACTAAGGTCTTCTAATTCTTGTGGATTACATCGGGGAATATTAATATCGCAATAAGTGATGTGTCCTAGTGAATTGTTTTTAACGGAAATAATATTTTTTGTCTAGTTAAAATATTTGAAGATAAACGAAAATTAAAGTTGTGGAAATATGTGGAAAATTACAACAGAAAACAAGGAGAGAAATATTTTTATGGGATTTGAATTTTTGACTTATTTATTATATTTAATTTAATCCTAACAATTTGGTGTTTCTCTATGTAGATGTAGAAAACTATGTTTATTTTATTTTTTTGACAAGTCTGGTTGACTTCATTTTCACATTATTGTTATTTCATTTATTCAGTTTTTCCATTCACACACAGCTTTTTCAATCATTTCTTGTAGGTTTAGCGCAGTTGTGCAATGTACAAATGAAAAATTTTATATATACTATACAGGGTGTCCCATATAAAACTTTCCACCTGAACATTTCGTCATTTAATAGTTATAAAAAAATTCCAAAAACACGTCGATTTTTAATTTGAGGGGGACATCGACTTACATCATTACTTATTTTGTAGTTGCTACCCCCTTGAAAGCTCTTTTGATACTGACTTCGAATCCGTAAAAAAATAAAGATTGTCATTCGTTTTCAAGAAAAAAAACATTGAAATTAAATTTTCGGAATTTTGTATTTTTACATTTAAAATAGTTTTATTTTAATTGCATGCGTTAACCACTGAAAAGATTTTCATACATGAAAACATTAATTATTAAACTGCAAAAAGGTTTCTCCTTCAGATGATAAAAACAATAATAAACGAAATGTAATGAAGGTTGAAGTTCTTATCATAAATTTTTATGAATTCCATTGCATTCCATTCCATTTTATTTTTTTGTTTGATTTCATGTCTAACAGAATTACAGAAAATCAAAACATACTTTACAATATCTGTTTCAGTGACGAGTCTACGTTTTTTCTCGATGGTACAGTGAATAGGCATAATATTCGTTATTGGTTGGTGAAAATCCTCATTGTGTTAAGGAATCGCACACTCAGTATCTAGAAAAGCTGAACGTCTAGGTTGGAATATTGGGTAATCATATAATTTTTTATTTGGATCAGAATTTTCCAGGATGATGGATAGGTCAGCTCGGTCTCCTGATTTGAGTCCAAATGACTTTTTTCTCTGAGGACATCTCAAATCAGTGGTTTTTGCAAGTCAACCCGAAAATCTTGAAGATTTAAGACAACGTATTGTAAACGAATGTCGGAATTTTACTCCAGAGGTTTTCGCAAATATAAGATGTTTCGTAGACAGCCTCCATATTTGCCAAGAACAACTGGAAGCACAATTTGAGCATCTATTATAAATAATTTTAAATGCAAAAATACAATATTCCAAAAATTTAATTTCAATGTTTTTTTCTTGAAAACAAATAACGATTTTTTTATTTTTTTTACGGATTGAAGTTGATACCTTGATCTACGAAGGGGTGGCAATTACAAAATAAGTAATGATGTAAGTTGATGTCCTCCTCAAATTAAAAATCAAGTGTTTTTGGAATTTTTTCAAATCTTCATATTAAACGAAATGTTCAGGTGGAAAGTTTTATATGGGACACCCTGTATAGTCAAAGAACAGCCAATTTTTGTGAATTGAAATAAAAACAGAGCTTAATTATATAAGTTAAAAAAAAGTCTAATGGTAATTTACAGAACATACAAAATACTTATCTAATATTGATTATACACGAATTTAATGTAAAATTATTTGAATAATGTAAAAATGAACTATTAATTAAACAAAGTGCCCCGAAAATTTCTTTGCCATTGAGCATCAATCATTTAATTCTTTAATGATTGTATAATACTAAAATTGGTTTGCTAAAAATAATCCAAAAAAATCAGTAAGGTTGTATTTTTCTAATCTGGTATTGTATAAAATTATCATTATTTATTTCATGATAAAAAAAATGTTTAGGTGGGATATCAGTCTTGACAGTCTTATTTTAATAAAAAGAATAATTTTAGTAAATACCATTTTTTTCGTATTTATATATACTGGGTGTTCTGGAAATAAGTGCCAAAAATGAAATGCCGAAACTTAGCTCAATGGACATATTGTAGAATCTAGTATCGCTAGTTCCGAGATTTCCCAATCTTTCGAAGACGTCTCACAAAAACGATTACTCACATTAAAGCAAGTGGTTAATCAATCACAATACATTATATTGTATAACATTATAAAAATAATAAATAAATTTTATAAAGACAAATAAAATAGGAACATTTCACAAATATTACAACGGAAGTACTTTCAGTACTATCGGTGCAAATTATACGACTAATTTTCTTTTTCAATGGGATTCACGTCTGAATTTAGAGTTTCTGAGGGTGTTTGCCAAACCTCTGCTGCTCTCCTGAAACAGGTCCGAATAATTCAATATTTAAGACAATTCTCTTAGCGAAAGAGAATACCTTATGCATTTTTCTGGTAGATTCAATGCTTGGTAATACAAAACTGCAGCCAAAATCAAGGACCAAGTCCTTAACGGCCCCAGAAGGAAAGCCAGTGTCCCATAAGCTAACCAAAAGAGGTAGGCCATTGACACTTGCAAACAGAACACTATAAGAAATGGAAGGTGTAAACAAATTCTCCTTTTTATCGGTAACTTTTTCCCAGGTTTTAGGGTCAGTTCCTGGAACCTGAAATGAAACACATTTTTTACAGTGTCCTATATCAAACAGTTTAGCAACTTAGGCGAGTGAGATGGTGATCCAAGAATTTTCATTAAAATTAATTTTAACATTGAACCATGCAGAATTAATTAATGGATACAGTGACCCATTTTAAGTATTACATCAAGAGCGCCAGCCTGACACCGCCTGGATCGGGACAGTTGCAAGGATAAAGAACAGATGCGGGATGCACCAGGGTTCCAAGAAAAGGTCCAAGACAGATTGGCGCCAAGGACCAGATACTTATACCTGCGAACGACTCTGTACCACGACAATTCTCCAGCGAACGCTTGTCCCGATAACACTTCAATAAAAATACTTTAATTTTACCGCTGACAGAGAGAGTTTTATTTTGCTACATACCGTAAGCAACCCTCATATCGACTTTAAGAATTTTTTGGCTTTCAGTGGTATTAATGTATACAGGTTGTTACAAATTCGTAGCAAGTAGTTTAAATGGGGGCAAAGTTGCATAAACAGGGGACCAACATTATGCCTCTGTCTCTAAAAAATCAAAGCTAACATGATTAATTTTCGAAATATTTGAAAATACCCGAAACTTTGGAATTACTTTTTTTTTTAATTTCAGACTTGTTCGAGGTGATGTCGAACACTTTCTCATGGAAACTTTTCGCCCTCTATAGAATGACATAATCAACTTCATTTTTTTAAATACAACACTGGATTTTGAAGAAAAAAATAGTCGATTTATTTTTAATCAGCCTAATGTAAGTTTATGAGGAAAACCTACATACATACCTGTTTTCTGCAAGATTTGCTATTATCAGCATCAGTGGCAACTGAAAAGTGAATAACTGAAAAAAAATACATATATCAGTGGGTAAAATAAAACGGAAAGATGGAATTAGGAATCTGACAGATATTTACCTGTATAAAACCATAAGCGTAAGTAAACGACCCGGGAAGATATGCTCCGTTGACAAAAATTCCCCAGGCAAAGATTACCCCGATATAGTCCTCAACTATGTACCCAACTGACCAAGGCCCAAATGCTAAGTATACAGGGTAAATGATGACAGGCCAAAATAATCTGTCTATCGTGGACAAAACCCAAAGTTTACGTAACCACCTGTTCCAGCAATATTTTCCCATTCTTGGTTTAACAGATCTTCCCGCTAAAATATAATTCATCATTTCTCGAAATACTGAATGGTTTACCCAATAACTACAGAACCTTCAAAATGATTACAAGCCACGTAAAGCCGAGCTTAGGCAACCAATATTGCACGGGTGGTACGGTCAATTAAATAATAATTCCTAAATCTTAGCCTCACAAATATTAATGATTTTCTACAATGAACAATCCAAATCATTACGTCTACGTTCGTGATAATGCTATCGCTGATTGGTTGAATAAAATTTTGTGAAAAATTCCACCAACGCCTTCATGTAATTGTTACAATTTTACTGAAATTTAATTGCCAAGGTGAAGGAAATAAAATACTAGATGTGTGGCTTGTAATCATTTATGAAAGTTTTCTATATAAAGAACATTCATTGAAACTTACCCGTTACCGAATAATGGAGATATCTTACTACACATAACGGAGTAATCGATAGCACAAGCATGGAAAAGAACATAAGTTTGAACTAAAAAATAGTTCCGTTAAAAAACAAAGTACATAAATATGAATACACTTACGATTAAGCTGGCATCGGTCATAAGCGCTACTCTGGACAAAATGCTAAATGACAGTGGAGTACCATCTAAAGAAAATGGCTGTGACACGGTCTTTATCCTGCCGTCAGTATCCTTTACATAAACCTAAAAATTTATTTGATAAACTGGTAGAGTTTAATCTCTACATTTTCGATCCTGCTTACTTCTATGGTATGGATTCCTTTCAGATACAATTTTGGATTCCAATCAGCCGCATACAATGGTCCTTTAATGTTTTTGCATCGGATCCATGGGCCATCATCGACTTTCACTTTTACAAAGTCGATATTGGCCAAGGAAAACGCTAAAACTCTATAAAAATTAAATTTGGGTTACATTAAATAATGTTCTTCCTAATCAGTAATGAATCTACCAGTAGAAGAAATTTCCAATATTTTAACACTAACCTTATATGTGTCGAATTTCTTAATTTATCCAAATTTTCTTTAGCAAGATTTACAAACAAAGCATGCTTTGGATTCGTTATCAATGCAACGGGCCAGTCTCTATGAGGAATATCGACAAATGACAATAAACCGTGGTCTATAGCCATCAATCGATACCTATAAAAAGGATAGCTATGAAAGTATTTACTATTTGCGCAACAAGGTATGCTGTTAGTAATTTAATTGCTGACACTGCACAGTTAAGGATATTATATCTTAGGCTCCTGTTCAATATCAAATTTTTAAGATCAAATAAATACAGGGTGAGTCACTATAATCTGACTTACGAGTTTATTACTGAAATTACAAAAAAGTTTTTAATACAAAAGTTTTAGCTTTTTTTATGAATTTGTATAATACAGTATTAGAAAAAACAATTGAATAATGGAAATCACTAAACTAAAGAAAATTTTTGTTTTAAATGGAACACCCTATTTATTATATTATTGGCTTCGTTAAATTTTTGTCTTTTGAAAAATATATATGTTAGTTCAGTTTAAAACTATTTTTGAAAAAACAGGAGGGAAATTTATGTCTGACATATCGCAGTGGCTATGGACGACACACGCTTAACAAACAAATGATTTTGACAGGAGTTTATTTATCATCATTAATTTATTTCCTATAACAAACTATTTTAACAAAGAAATAATGTTCCGTGAGAACGAAAAATTTGAAGTTATCCGTTTATTTTACAAGAATAATAATATTGTGAATGCAGCGTGCCGAGTATGCTCGTTTGCATCCCGGGTTTCCAATTCCATCTCGAGCTGCATTTTACGACACTGAGCGAAGCTTTAGAGAAACAAAATCTCTTGGAAGACAGAAATGAAGAATTATTCCATATGAAAAATTAGAACTAACTATATTACTATATTTTCAAGGTAAGCAAATATTCATTCGAGGTTTACCATGGTAAATTTCTCACCCAAAATCAAAAAATTCAGCGATTAGAGTACTGCAGTGAAATGTTGCGATTGAAAAATGGCGAGCCAAACTATTTCGAAAAGATTTTATGGATTGATGAGACGAGTTTTACAACAGCTGGCATTTATAATAGAAAAAATACTCATACCTGGGCAAATGAAAATCCTCACTGTAATGGGAAATTCCAAGTCAAGGACGCACATCATTTAATGTTTGGTGGGGTATATTCAGAAATAAAATCATTGGCCCACTATTTTATGAAGGTCCTTTGACTAGGGAAGGATACCAGTATTTTCTTGAAAATCAAATAGAAAACAAATTGGAAGACCTGCCGCTGATCAACTATACCAATTTAATTTGGCACTAAGACGGAGTGTCTTCGTATAGAACCAGAGCAGTACGAAATTATGTATTTAAATAATAGGTTTGAATTGTGGATTGGTAATGGAGGAAACATCCAATGGCCTTCAAATAGCCCAGACCTTACACCCTTGGACAGTTTTCTGTGGGGTTACTTAAAAAACAAGGTTTATAAGGAAACTAAAGTAAACTTGAACTAAGACATAAACTTGATCAGTGTATACAAAACTTAAGTGAATTTAATTCCCATTTTATACTAAATGCAGTTCTGTAAATTAATGAGGATTATACGAAGTGCATCAATAATAATGGCGGTCACATTGAGCATCTGTGACCATTTGTGTTTTAGTTTGTTTTAATTAACTAAAATTCTGTTAAACTTAAGACTTGTTAAAGTTAAGAATGATTTTTATTATTATGATAAAATAAACAGATAACTTCTAATTTGTCCTTCTCACTAAACATTATTTCTTTCTTAAAATAGTTTGTCATAGGAAATAAATTAACGACGATAAATAAACTGCTGTCAAAGTTATTTGTTTGTTCTGCGTGCCTCATCCATAGCCACTGTGATCTGTCAGACATAAATTTCCCTCCTGTTTTTTCAAAAATAGTTTTAAACTGAAATATATTGAAAAGTCCTGAATCAAACAGTAACATATTATATATTTTTGAAAAGAGAAAAATTTAACGAAACTAAGTATGCACTACATAGAGTCTTCCATTTAATTTAGTGACTCCCATTATTCAGTTCTTTTTTCTAATACTATATTATAAAAATTCATAAAAAGCTAAAACTTTTGTATTAAAAACGTTTTTGTAATTTCAATAATAAACTCACAAGAAGTTGTCAGATTGTAGTGACTAACCCTGTACAATTCTGCATGTCCCCAAATGACTTTTTTATTTTTGTGAAATGTCAAAATGATGATTAAACACATTTCAGTATTCTATAGACAATTTTATGAAATTAGTACGTAATGTTATGTAAATTTATAATACCTAAACTTAAATGGTATATGCTACGAATAAATTTAATCTTAGGATATTTGTCACGTATTAGTCAACATTATCATTCTTAGTATTTACAGTGGGTTATAAAAAGTGAAAATTAAAATGTATTCAAAAAATTTGCTAATGTATCATCTACATATTTTTCAAAGATAAACAATATTATGCAATAGTTCAACTTTTTTCAATGTTGCACAATATTGTTTTATATTTTTTAATAAAAACATAAATCAAAGCAATTATAACAGACAATGGCATCTACTTACATTCTATTATCTTTCCAGTCGCCCACTTCCAATTCTAAAAAACCAGCCTTTTGGAGAGTATACATTTGAGGTATAAGGCCCCCAAGTTTGTGTAAATGTCCACAAACGTAAACTAAACCTTGCTTATGTTTACCTATCAGATCTCTAACATTTTCTGGGCCAGGTGTGAGTATGCAGGAGGTGGGAAAATGACCGAACCAAACTGTGTAGTTGGTCGAAACACTTTCTGCCTTTTTTATAAGGGAATTGATTTCATTTACTTCAAGTTCATCTAATATTCCGACAAAGTTAAACGGCCTCCTGGGTCCTTCGAGGAAGTAAATTATGGGACACAATCAAAGACCAACATTTAAAGCTTACCTGGTTCCAAACAGGCATCAATGCCGATAAATGAGTATGTGGTACCTCCTTGTTTTATTTGGTACATGTATGAGCGAGGGTGTTCTTTTCCCTGAACAGAGTAATTTGTGAAGAAGTTTTGTTTCGAGTCGTTGTTGATTACATTAAAATTATCTAAAAAAATGTATACTCTTGTAACTGCCACTTGGACTATGATAATCAGTACGAATTGAAGTTCATAAAGTAATAACTCATACTCATGAGACATAAACAATTAAAGGGTAATGTGTCAAAAAAAACCTCACCATGATTTCCTCTAATATCTAACCAAAGAGTCTTTCTTTTAACATGAGCCTCTGCGAGTATATCTCGGTAATATTTCCATTCTCCTTCAAATTGGTCTGAGCCGATAGCATCTTTTGTCTTTGCATCAGTCAAATCTCCAGAAGCCAGAACTACTCTAGGCTTTATTGCATCCAGAGTGTAATGACAAAATTCTCTAAATTCTGTTATTCTAAATGGATCTCTAAATATACTTATGTGCAAATCTGAAATCTGCAACATTCAGTTAGAATTTCATCAAGTATTTAGATTATACAATGTCTTACCTGTAAAAACCATATTAAATTGTCAGGAGTATCAGTGATCTTTATATAATTTTTTTTGATATCCTTCTCACTGTTAAGTGTATCAGTGCTCAATAAATTCACGACATTTGTAAAAAATATCGAGAATATTATCATGGATAAAACAATTCCTACACTTAATTTTGATAACCTCATCTTAAAATGTTATTGCAGATTCTCATGTCATCAAATTCAACCATAACTAATTTATACCGATTTCACTGGTTTCGCAAATACGCGCTGCTTGTTACTAGAATTTTGTTATCTTTACAATGTTTAAAATCACACAAATTATTTATATACAAAATGACATTTAACGAGGGTCATTGAAATGAAATCAGATGTTTTCGTGACAGCTGGGTGAATTTGAAATGTTCATCCAAATGTAGGTTACTTGATAAAAACATTTACAAAAATGGTACTAAAAAATTTAATAAAAACCTTCACCGTGAGATGGCACCCTTATATATAACTTAACCACTGACCTGGAAATTTAGGATCGAGGGCTGAGGGTTTGAGTGTTGTGAAAAGGAATGAAAATGCTTTTAGGGTTCAGGGGGATGCTGTGAGTTGTGCTTGCCTTGGACTGATAGAAAATACAGAGATAAACGGGTATACATAGGTATTGTATTTTTGAAACCGAGAGAGTTGTACGAAAATAAATTTGTAGAGGACATAGCTAGTACCATGCGAAACATCGCCATAATTTTAAAAATGTTGTCACCGCCGTTCTTGGGGGTGAACATTCGAAAAATTTAGTATTATTCAAATTTCGTGGCTGAAAACATACATAGGTATTGTATTTTTGAAACCGAGTGAGTTGCGCGAAACTAAATGATTGATAATACATTTTCAATGTAAAATTTCTTAATAACCTGGTTGTCTTAATCAACAAACAATTTTTTTGACATCAGTGCCATCTTCAATTTGGTTTGTAAAAATTATACTTGTGGTGTTAATTGACGTCACCAAGAAGCACCATCAATTGCCGTTTTCAGAATGAAAATAATTCTGTCCATTATAAAGTTATCGGGCAAAAACAGCGGATTTTGAAAATATCACTTTTCTCTCTTATATTTTTCATAGACATATAAATAAAATGCATGGCATATTTCCAGCAGGAATATTTGAATATATTTAGGGGATCAAGATTGTGAAAGGCACAAAGGCTATACCTGGACAAAGTATTCGAGAGGACACTCACTTTTTAGGTGCGGACTGAGACGAGGCGTATAGTGTTTTGCCGCAACACCACTCATATTACTAAGAAAACTTTGCAACAAAGAGAAAAGAAAAATCTGGTCTCAGGTGACATAAGTTTGTGTAACCGAGATTTATGGGCAGATGCACCGCTGCGTCGGTTGTACTTTCAGAGCTCTTGTTATACTTTTAATTCAGATACATGTCCTGATATAAACTTGAAACGCGAGGCGTCTCTAACAGGATATAAGAAAATATGAATTTCGTCCAGGCTTTTAATAAAAATTGTGTGTTTTACGATAAAACAAATATCCTTTATAGCCCGAGAAGTCAGGGAGATTAATTAAAAAAAAATGGCAATGGAAAAAAATAACTGTATAAACTAAAAATTCATATATAGGAAGTCTGGAAAAGAATAGGCGATTTTTAGACGATGGGTTTCTTGAATGAAAATTAACCCAAGTTATTACCTCAATACAATTTTTTTTTATTTTCTCTCTCTACAGTAAGAGGCTTTTATCCCGATGAACAGTGCTAAGTATATAAATCTTTTGTTAACGAATTTGGTACAATTTCAAGACGAGATGAAATCGTGTTATTCTTTACATCATGTTCTTTTTCGATATAATATTGGAATTGTAAATATGTAGGCACTCTTACATTTTCTAGAAATGATAGTTAAAGACCGCTTCCTGTAAAGCTGGTATCAAACCTTTAAAGCTTTTCAATTTAAATAGATCAAAGCTTATCCGCCTCCGGAGACATATTTTTAAAGTAACGATTTATATCGACATTGTTTGGTGAATTCTACATTTAGGGTGGATGGTTTTGCGCCTAAGCATAGAAAATATACACTTGGTTAAACTAAAAAAAAACGTTTTTCTCATGTCCTTGAAAAAACAGTCGAAATTTTATGAATTTCAAATAAGTAAATTCATTTTACAAATTTTGTTTCTGTAAATCTTTAAAAAGAAGCAAATAATGTATTACTTTAGGAAAAATATAAACAATAACCTTTCCCATAACACTGCAATAAGAAAATGCGATTAAAAATGAAAAATATAATATTACACCCAATAAATTTCCTTTCAGCTTCATTTTTTTTAAATCCAAATTTTCAAATTATTCAGAATATTTCCGGAACGTTGGCAAATATCTTAGATCTGTTTGTTGTACATTCAAGAGCAGGAAATGACAATCTTTTTCTAATTTTTTGTATCGCTTACGATTTAGGGGATATCAGTGACAGGAAATGAAATATGGTCTATGCTATGCTGTATAGTAAGGTAAAAGCTAGAAACAACTTAAATAGACTTATAAAGTAACATTTTCAGGAATATGTATACGGAATCCTAAAATAATGGAGATAAACTATAAAAATAGCATCCAATTACCTATTTTATTCATTTCGATATCGATTCAGCAAGCCTATAATAATATGGTTTAAAATTAGAAGCAGTTGTCTTACATTTTTATAAAATAGGTGTCTCTTCCTTAAATAGATTCATCTAGCAACTGCAATAAGTAAAAATTTCCAAGAATTAGATACCGCCTTTCAATATATTTTTTTACGTGATGGAATTGTTGGTACTTTTTTCTGCAACATCCTGTATGTAATGTATATTAAAACCTTCAAGCGAGAATGTACTTGCCAAACATATTTGTCTCGAATTTGTAGTTATCATAAAATTGCCCTAGCAAGAAATGCAGCGACTTTTTTGCAGGTGTACAGGAGGCTTTAAACTTACACCAGGCGTCATCATCGCCGCCTTCGACGAAGAAAAAGGCGCGAACTCACCAGGAAAAAAGAAATAAACAGACTCCAACCTTATTTCCGCCTTTTGCGCAAACGGAAGTGAACACGACATTTTGCGATTTGAAAAGGTCCGTATTAGCTGAATAAATTTTTTGCTCTCTATTTACCAGCGTAAATTTTCCATTTCAGGGTAATTGTGTTACACCGTACTCGGAGGACGCTCTGACAAATTGAGCCAAATAAAATGGGAGTTGAGCACCAAGTGTTTAAACAAGGGCGATGTACAGGTCGCTAGGGCTTCGACCTAGTTTCTTATCTATATTGAGTTTTAAACGAGACAACTTATCGATAAGTAAATGATACTTAAATATACAGGGTGGTCCTCTAATGCGTGTTAGATATATTATAATAGATCTTTTTAGTAGTGACGTCACATACGCCAAATAATAGGCAACCCCATAGTAGGTACACATTGTCATGAAGAATTTCTCGATATTTTTACTAGATCGATTTTCGACTTTATTTCCTTTGGACATAAGAGCCAAAAAATTGTCTTCTTTGTCATGACCTTAAATATCGCGATATTCTGGCAATATTAGAAATATTTAATAAGTTTCAAACCTCAAGTGACAAACTAAAAGAATGATAGAAATTATATATTTAAATTTATAGAGCAATTTGGACTCTTATAGTAATTAATAAATTGAAATTATATCAATGTTACTGAGCATGCGCATTAGAGATAAATTCGTGTAAGCGAAGTAGCCTCGTCACAAGATATCATTCAATAAAAGTTTGGTTATGGTTGAGTACGTCTATACGTCTATAATAAACCACATGAAGAAAAAAAATTCGAACACACTGACAGCACAACACCAAGAAAAACAATGAAACTACTTCTTAGAACTAGAAAATGCCAAGATTAAACAAAAGAAGAGAAAATACGCTAATGACATATCAACAAGATCTCACCTGCGTATGAGGCTATTCTTTCCGGGCATGCGCATTAGTAATAACACGGCTAATGTTAAATTGTTACTTTATTTAAATATATGACGTCACATTAAAAGAGTCTATTGGAATCTTCGCATCAAATAAATAAAGGATTTTGATGGTCCATGAAATATTATGACCATAGGCGTTTCCAAAGGGATGGAACAAAATTAAACGCCTGTGTTTTCTATCAAAATTACTTTCTGTGTGGAATATTCTTTAGATACAGTACAAAGTGATTTCACCATTCGAACCTTAAATACACATGTGGTTTAGTGACTCTGAATAGGAGGGGCATGTAAATGTTCAAAGAGCTTGAGTTTACTAGGCAGGTACAAACTACACCTACAGGATGATCAATTTAACAGGTGGATGAATCGATAAAATTTATATACCTATGTTCTGAGTCATCTGTTCAGATTATAACGAAGAAGCTTTGGACTGGTGTTTGTCTGAGCTGTGGAAACATGTACTGTGAGCCCGGCAACTATGTGAATTGCGTATAATTACGCTAACGCTTTGAGCATACATTTACAACAATACGGTCGTTTCCTCTGGTGAAATTCCATATAAAATTGTACACAGATATAACTTATTTGTAAAATAAAGTCAATAAATAGCAAAATTACTTCTTTCGTCTTTCATGCTTCATGGTATTTCTCGAAATAATAAATGATGACGTACTGATTCGACAAAGGCAGAGATGCAGATTCCAGCAAAAAGTAGCAATTTCCACTAAACAGGACTCTGCAGTTGTTTTACCCTGCCGTATAGATGGCACTACCAAAAACGTTTAAAAGTGTTTTTACACGAAATTTAATTGAAATGAATCGTCAATTCAAATACTTTGCTATCGACGAATGGTAAACTGAAATTGTATTAGTACCAAATCATAGAATCATTTGTACATTTGCCTTTACAGTTACTACCGAAATATAGTGCTAATATATAGGGTGGCCCAATTAAAACAGCCCACCTGAGATATTTTCAATAAAACAGGTTTTTCCGGAAAACCCCGAAACAGGTCGATTTTGCTTTCACGAGCGATATCTTTTGATTCATGGATGTAGGGTCATCCCCCTTCGGTGAAATAAATCGAAAAACAAAGTTTTCAAACAAGTTTTAATTAATTAAGTGGTCAAATTGCGACCCATTTACTTCCATACAGTAATAAAACCTTTGTTCAACATTTTCCCGAACATTTTGTAGCATTTCAGGGGTTATTTCATCACATGCTGCCACTACTCGGTGGCGAAGATCTTCTAAAAAGGTAGGTTCCGTTTTATAATGAACACTTTTTAAATGACCCCATAAGAAAAACACCAAATATGTTAAATCAGGCGATCTTGGGGGTCATTCAATGA